CGTCGTCCTCCTGTTCCGTGGTGGACCAAGGAATGCGGAGACGCGATTCGTGCCAGGAAACGCGCTTTTAGAAAGTTTGACCGGAGTGGCACCACTGAGAACCTCATCGCTTTTAAGAAAGCGCGGGCTTTTGCCCGACGCGTTTTAAAAGAGGCAAAGGCTGTTCATGCGCACTTACGTAAGTTCCTTAAACCGTTTTACTCCTACGACCAGATATGGGCACGCATGAAGCGCATTGAAGGCCGGTTCAGCTCTGTTCCGCTTCCGGTTTTAAGAGTGAACAACACGGACATATCTCACCCTTCAGACGTCGCAGAGACGATAGGCCGTGCACTCTATCAGCGCTGCCGAGGAGAGTCCTCACGACCTGCACCAGCCGCCGTGGACTTCAGCACAGCTGAAAATTTCGTGTACAATGAGCCTTTCACCATGGTTGAGCTTACGTCTGCCATCAGCTCGTTGCGCAGCGTCTCAGAAGGTCCGGATGCTGTCCACAACGACATGCTCCGTCATCTCCCCGCAGTTGCCCTCGAGGCGCTGCTAGCAACCTTCAATTCGCTTTGGGAGACTGGCACCTTCCCTGAGACCTGGCGGGAAGCCATTATCATTCCTATCTTGAAGGCTGGCAAGTCGGGACATGACCCTCTCCATTATCGGCCCATCTCTCTCACATCATCGCTATCAAAGCTGATGGAGAAGATGGTCAATGTGCGTCTTAGCTGGTTTCTGGAACATCACGGTGTTTTTACAAACGCCCAGTGCGGTTTTAGAAAACACCGCAGCCCTGTGGACCACATCTTAGCCCTTGACACCGAGATACGCACCTGTTTTACTGAAAAGAAGCACCTTGGAGCACTGTTCTTTGATATTGAGGCGGCCTATGATACAGTGTTACGACACAGAATACTTTCCAAAGTACATAAGTACGGCATACGTGGCCGAATGGGTCTCTTTATCAAGAACCTTTTATCGGGTCGTCGGTTCAAAGTCCGTGTTGGCAGCCGTCTTTCGAGCAGTTTTATTCAGGAGAACGGAGTTCCTCAGGGCGGAGTGCTCAGTGTGGCGCTGTTCGCTGTGGCGATCAATGACATTGGCGACAATCTCGCACCATCTATCGGCAAATCACTATTTGTCGATGATTTCGCGATCTGGTTTTCAGCTACGACCGCCCGTCACGTTGCCAGACAGTTGCAGCTCGCTGTAACCCGTCTGGAGAGGTGGAGCGACGACAACGGCCTTCGTTTTTCAACAACGAAGACCGTCGCTATGCACTTTTGCCGCCGCCGCTGTGACGACTTAGCCTTGGGAATCAAGCTCCATGGACAGGTGATTCCTACTCGGCCGGTGGCGAAGTTTCTTGGAATCTTTTTTGACAGTCGTTTGACGTATAGAGAACATTTTAGAACGCTTCGGGAACGATGTTTTAAATCCCTGAACGTTTTAAAATGTGTCGCCCGCACATCTTATGGTGCGGACCGCAGGACCCTTCTTCTTCTCTATCGATCGATTATACGATCGAAGCTGGATTACGCTTCCTTTGTCTATGATTCAGCGAGTGAATCCAGCAAGAAGGTCTTGGATACAGTCCATCATGCAGCACTCCGAATAGCCACCGGAGCATTCCGCACCTCGCCCAGGAGCAGCATTCTTGCTGAGGCGCACGAGCCGCCACTTTCTCTCCGCCGTCAGACGCTGGGGATGCGTTATGCTCTTAAACTACGTCAATTCCCGACGCATCCGACGTACCCGTACGTCTTTTCGCGTCACATTGCTTCATCTGGTAATGGGACGAGTCATCCATTCGGAGCACGCATGAGAGGTTTATTCTCTACATCGAATATAGACTTGCGCGGCGTTCGGCGTATCTGGGGAACGCCTTCTCCACCCTGGAGAAACGCCCCGCCGCAGGTAGACCTCTCGCTTTCCGAAGTAAAAAAGGATAGCCTGCTGTCCTATGAAGCACAAACCAGAGCCTTGAAGCATATAGCCTCGTATGATGGTTTTATTTCAGTCTACACAGACGGCTCAAAAACATCCGAGGGAGCGGGTTGCTCTTTTGTCGCTGGTCGGGACACCCGCTCGTTTTCTCTTCCACCCAGCGCCTCGGTGTTTTCCTCAGAGCTAGTCGCCATCGAAAAGGCTCTGTGTTTTATTGAGGTGTCCGACGGTTTTTTCTATTTGATTTTATCAGACTCACTAAGCAGTCTGTTGGCTTTACGACGGTTTAATCCTGACGACCCGATCATTCAGGACATTTTAACTCGGCTAACTTCGGTGGAACAGTCCAGAAAAACTATCCGGTTTTGCTGGATTCCCAGTCATGTTGGAATTCAAGGCAACGAGCTTGCTGACGCCGCCGCGAGACGCGCTGCCGCAGCGCCCTACACTCGGCGATTTCCTCTGCCTGCCCGGGATTACTATCCCGTCGTACGATCTGCCATGCTCTCGCAATGGCAAGCAGAGTGGGACTCGCGCGCGAGCAGTAAGCTGAGAGATATCAAGCCAACTCTCGAGCCTTGGTCGTCATCCATGCAAAGTAACAGACATAACGAAGTCGTCTTATGTAGGCTGCGCATCGGCCATACGTATGCCACGCATGGTCATCTCCTCCGCGGAGAAGAGCAGCCCACCTGTCGCAGGTGTACCGTGCCTCTCACTGTCTCTCACGTGCTTTTATCTTGTCCTCTCGCTGAACCGAACCGGACACGCTACCTCGGGCGCATCGCTCCGGGTACCACTATCCGCCGCTTACTGGGTGACGAGTCACCCTGGGTTTTATCCGGCAGCATCTTTTCTTTTATCCATTCGATCAACTTCCAAGTGATTTACTCGACCTGACCCCAATCCAACTAGCCCTCTCTAGTCCTTTCATCTAGTCAGTTGTCTAGGACGACACCTTTGCGCTGTTTTATCTTACCTTGCTATTTTATATCGAGTCTTACTTTCTAGTCTTAGTATCTAGAAGGTTCTTTCTTGTGGCACACTTGTTTTATTAGTACGACGTTATGGGCGCAAAATGACCTTAGCAGTCGGCGCGCCCTAAAGCCCCAATCAACAAACAAACAAACCTCTAGGGAAAACGGTAAAGGGAAAGCTTTTCGCTCACAATGCACACCTATCCACAAGTACCAAAATCCCTATAATCACGGTGGTCTGACCGCCCTTATCACTGCCAGCTACAAGGGCTACAACTACCCGATCATGAACCTGCACGAGCGGACGCTCTCTGTTCTGGCGTGCCGCTACGTGGGGGAGGTGGTGATCGGCGCCCCGTACGCGGTCACCGCTGAGCTGATGGACCATTTCCGGGTGGATGTGGTGTGTCACGGTCACACGCCGGTGGCGGAGGATGTCGGTAAGAGGGGAGGAAGAGAGAGAGGGAAAGGTAAGGGAAGGAGGGAGGGGTGCTAGTGAGTGAGTGAGCGAGTGAGAAGGAATTAAAGTCACATTCATTCATAGATCTCAGTATAGTGTATAAAACTCTTTAGTCTAGGTGTACAACAGAGCTCTATTTAGGTTCAGGTGTCTAATGTTAATCCGTTTAGTAACAGTGAATTTAGCAGCATATCTCGTTGACTGGTGGGTGGACTGAAGTTTCTCCTTCCATGTTACCTGTGCTGTTGACTGGACTGAACACTGACTGATTCCCTCGTTAATATAGACGGATCAGATCCCTACCTGGAACCGAAGAGACGCGGCAAGTTCAAATCGCTGGTGTCTGGAAATGACATGACCACGCAGAAGATAGTGGAGAGAATTATCGAGCACAGGTGGGTGAAAAGAGACGAGGGGGAGAAAAAGAGGAGCGAGAGAGAGAGGGAGAGAGAGAGAGAGAGAGAGAGAGAGAGAGAGAGAGAGAGAGAGAGAGAGAGAGAGAGAGAGAGAGAGAGAGAGAGAGAGAGAGAGAGAGAGAGGGATGGATGACAATGGAAACGTCGATTGACGAGAAGAGTTGTGACACATCCCGGGACCACAACCGTATGATAAAGATAGGGAAGGAGTAGGGATAGGGCGGATACAAGTGTCTCATGACAAATTATTACTATAGGGATATGCGGATAGGTCGTATAGATGCTATATAAGGCATGTTTACTCCTTCTATCTCCGATTTCTCTTCCTCACCGTCTTACCGTGTTTTTCCAGGATGGAGTTTATGCTGCGAAACCAGAAGAAGGAAAAGAAGGAGCTGGCTGCCTACGAGGCGTTCGAGAAGTCTAAACAGACGGAGCGCGCGGACCACGCGGGTGACCAGTGATGGAGACTGTGGGGTGGGATGGAGCGGAGGGGGACGACGGACCGGCGGGTCCTCTGAGAGGGTTTGGGGGGGGGAAGAGGGAGAGAGGGAGTCGATTGAGTGTTGATGTGTATTCGATTGAGAATATCTATTACATTTATTTTAACCGGGTATTTAAAACGATCACCACCGTAATTCAGTCGTAGTTCTGGTTTGATGCCTCGGACGACAAAATAATTTGATATTATAGTATGCGGGATAGTACGATAGCCAGTTCGGTGCCAGTATTTTAACTGTTGGCTCTGTTTTAATCGGTGCTGTTTAGCCCCCAAAGCGGGTTTTGTGAGACCAAGCGAAAGGAAATGCACCCAGCATTCACGGATAATGCACCCATGCTATTCTAGACCGAAAGCAGTTATTCCAGCTATCACTGAAGAGCCTGTGCTTTAATTACAGCGTGTATGTATTTTGAATGGGTAGATGGCTTGCTAGTCGGTGTCTCAATTCAGGAAACCAGAGCTTTTTACAGTTTCGTATGTGTCGAATGTGTAAGCCATTTAGTTACCCGCATCGTACGGAACCTGTTGAGATTCTCTGATACTTCGCTATGTTGGCGGCGCGCAACCTTCATCGATAGTGGATAATTTATCCCCGGGCGATATTTGTGGCCTGCAGCAGCCAGTGCAGTGTCTATCCATTGCTCATTCGAGAGAGAACGCTGATCGGTGAAATGTGCGGTTCTGGTGTATGGTTCAATGAAATATATCAGCAGTGAGCAGACTTTGTTTTCTATTATGGATTCGGTGCATGACGGTTATTGGTTATTGATTGTCAAAGGTGAATAGTTGTTTACTCTTCCTATAACGGATTTGGAAACGTAATATTCGCACCAGTTTCCAAATGGTCCATTCTGCTGAAGGCCCTATACTATAGGATCCTTCCATATAGGGCCCTATAGGATCCTTGGTTCGCACAGAGGATGAACGCTGCCAAATTGTTCACTACAGAAAGCCATCCTTAGCAGGATTGGTATCAGCTTTTTACACCCATATCTCACTCCCAATGGCATTCAATTTTTTCCCATCTCAATGTTCATTTTTAGGGTCTTAGCTGATCAGTTTGTAGAATCGATAATTTCATAAGCAAGCGCAACCGACGTGGGCTCTTTTAATTCTGTTCAGGGGGACGACGAGGGCTCTTGTTTATGCAATTGTTGAGTAGCGTGCTGTATGTACGTACCTACATGTGGCCGGTGGGGATGCGAACATCTGGTTGACATGTTAACCTCGGTGGGTCACAGAGGTGACCTGCGTTTGACTCGGGAGGATCCCGCCGTGGACCCCGGAACGATAGCTGCCCCAGCCGGCCGGCCGATAGCTGGGCCGCCGATTGCAGGGAGTCGCATTACTCACCGCTCTTCAGAGTGGCCCCACGCCGAGCACACTAATCCTGTTGAAAACCTTAGGATTGTCACAGCCGAGGTGGTCCCGATAACGCGGCGTTCAGCAAATAAGGTGATATCAACCGGTGCTCGACAGCGCTGCATTTCAGTAACATCAGTGGACGGATGTTGACAGTAGCTTATGTACCGTGATGGGCTGTGCCGTCTGTCTGACTAATTCGAACAGGGTGTGGCTGTTGGTGCATTTTGTCCCATACCGTGCCCTGGCCTTATACGCAGGGGCTCCGCCACTGACTCAGGATTGGGGTGGGGTCGTTTTTTTTTTTTTTGCTCCGCCAGCTTAACCCTCGCCCATGTAGGGGGGGGGGTTGGTGCAACCCCCCCCCCTGAGTTTTTCAGAAATAGTGCAAAAACGGCGGCGCGCAGCGCCGCCAAATTTTGGGTACCTTATGGGGCAAACCTTGCGCATCTTTTGATAAAAAAAATTTGACCGGGTCATGTCAGGTCACGGAGTTATGACGTCACAAAGGGAACAGCCTCCGGCCGGATTTTCACAAACTGAGTGCCAACGCCCGAGGTTTCCTGCCGGTGGTACGGAGATCGGTTGATGGATCGTGATGAAACTTCCCATGTATGTTGGGGCAAGTATTGGCTATCATATGGTATAAGAAACTTGACCGGGTCAGGTCAGGTCACGGAGCTATGACGTCACAAGAGGAACAGCGTCCGGTACTATTTTTGAAAAGCGCCCGAACCACTATTTTGCTAATTCTTGTCACCTCAATGGGAATATGCAGCAATATTAGCTTCTATAGGGAGCAAATGGACCTCCCAAATCCAAAAATACAATCAGATTTCAAAAATTTAAATTTTGATTTTTCGAATTTCTGCCGCCGACTGTGACCTTGCCGACTTCCGGCGCTCCCGACGCGCCATTTTTAGAGCTAGGGAAACGAAATACATACCAAACGATAGAGAATTAATCAAGGAACACGATAGTGAAGGTTTCAAGTCGATATCTCCCACCGTTTTGCCGCAATCGCCGCCGAAAGTTGAAAAAAATCTATTTTTTCCGAAAATTTGACCTTTGACCGGTCAAAAGTAGGTCAAATGTTGACCTAGGACCAAAAAATATACCACCAATCGCGAGATCTCGGCGAGAGCAATCCGTTGGTCTTTTCCGCTAAGCTCTACGACGCTCCGTTTTCAAACGCCAAGGGGGGGGGGGTCGCACCAACCCCCCCCCCCCTGCATGGGCGAAGGTGGCAGATCGCCGTTTACGGGCGAGGGTTAAAGCCAGTCTGGAGCCGGGGGTCATTACATCTGGCAATTTTGGCCAGGAACAAAGTTTTACGTTAAGCCGGTTTATGTGAACCCGGAAGCAATTAGCAACGTGGGAGCCTATCCTTAGCGTGTATGAGCAAATCTAATGGGGAACTTACTTTTGCCGAAGTGCCGAAAAAGCCGGAACAAAAACACAGATGAAGAAACGGTAACATTTATTTACATCACATATTCATACACATGTTTAAGGTGTCAGTGTACTGGTGTGGGGTGTATTGGTCAGGCAAAAAGTCCTAAATAACAAAAAACCTGACGCCTATTGCAAAGGGGAAAACCCCGCGCTGAAGCCAAAGAGCGCAGGGAAAAAAAACCCTACAGTTGTTTGATCTAATGTGTAGGAGGTAGAAGGGAAGGGATAATGACAGTCCCGTGCTGGGGAGGGGCGCCCGGCGACCACAGGCGTAAACACCTTGGCCGCCAGTCGGCGTTGGCTCTCAACGACTCCGCCTTAGCGGGTCGGAGAGCGCAACAGGGGCCCGCCAGTTACACATAGTGCAATGCAAGAAATATCAATGGCTAGAGCGCGAGCAAACGATGCAATCAGAAGGAAAATGTAGATAAACGACCGGGATTTAGGTTGCACGTGTAAGGAACTGGGCGCCGCGTTACTATCGTCCCCACGGAGCCCACTCATGCCCGTGCTCGGGGTTCCGTTTGTATCAGTGAGGTGGTTTTTATATGTTGTTAATCAGACGTGCCTCCTGAAGAAAGATAAAAAGCAAATCATGTAGCTCTTGGTGATCGTCGCCAAGGATAGTTGGCAAATCAAGACTGAGGCCATGTGTGGTAATGTGTCTTATAATGTGTCTTCTGTGGTGCTGTAAGCGTGGGCAGTGGAGTATGAAGTGCTGTATTGTGTATCTTGGATGTGTATGGCAATAGTGACATATTGGAGGGGTGGGGTCGGTCCAATTCTAAAATGTACACCCTAAAAAACTTCTTAACCCGCGCATGACTGGGGGGGGGGGGCTCTACAGAGCCCACTCCCGTTTTTCGGCAATATCTTCTAAACCGTTTCACGGATCAGCACGAAACTTGCAGTACCCTCCGCGGCATCAATTTGACACCTTGTGTTGAAATTTCAACTTTCTAGCTACCATAGTTTGGCCGGAAATAACGTCAGAGTGACGTCATGTCGGCCGATTTTGATGCAAAATATTGAATTACGGCAAACGTTCTCAAGAGCTTAGTTTTAAAGCTAGATCCAATTTCTTTGCATCAGTGGACTACAAATACACGTAGCTATCAAAATGTAGCTACTAGTAGTAGCTACAGATACTACTAGTATCTCTAATTTTCGAAATTTTGAAAATTTTGAAAAATAATGTTTCTTAAGTTACAAAAAATATATTTTTTGATTTTTTTTTCAAAAAGCTTTTTTTATATTTTTCGCAAAAACCGGAACACCTATATGTCGTAAAACACACTGATGAACTACTCTAGCAAGTTTTACTCCAATATCTTCAAAAATAGATATTTAGGTACCTATATATCGTTCAAAACCATTTTTCAGTACCTACGTTTTTGACATCGTACAGCAGTATAAATGGCACCATCGTGTTCCTGAGCTCACACTGCATCTGATAGACACCTTTTTTGTTGAAAAAAAAAATCATTTTCAAATTTTGACCTTTTCTGGCCTGAGGTTGACCTGACCTCCGGTAAATTCAGCTGAAAATGACCTCACATGACTCAGACGACATTATTTTCGAAATCTACGTGTAAAATGGGCCATAAAACATGCGTCATGTGACCGATACATGATAAACAATTTTCGTGGCCTAGGGTGACCTGACCTTGACCTGTAAAATTCGAAGGAAAAGTTCGGTACCATCAGGGTATCTAAGGCATATATCAAGGAGTGCGTAAACCAAAAATGAGCCTGATGGGACTTGTCAGCCGGCGGTCAGAGCCTGAATTGTAAACAAACAAAAATGCCGATAATTTTTACTTTGACCTGACCTGTGACGTCATCGGTGACCTCGAGGTCAATGAAAATAGGTTTCGCTCGACAGTTTTTTCAGAGCTATCGTACGCCGTTTGAATTTTGACGATCGGCCAGTATTTTCGGAGATAGGAGGGGGGGCTCTGGAGAGCCCTCCCCCCCCCCCCTCAGTCACTCGCGTTATGGAAAATACCCCAGCCATGCGCGGGTTAAAAGCATGGGTACCCTATTTGCTCATACCATGATCGTCACGCTTATAGCGGTCATTTTCACATCATTCAAAAATAAAATGTGAGTTTTTGTTAGCATTCCTGCACGTCAAACTAAATAATTCAGTTATCTTTCAACTTGCACCAACATCTTCGTTGCCCGAACAAGTCGCCCGTCGTCCGAGTGCTGAGCCGATATACCGAGTGACGCCGTCTCCCTATCCGTCCATCCGTTATCAGCTGAAGCAGCCATTGGTAGAGTGTGGTATGATAACACCGGCAGTCGTATTAAGGTGAGACGGAGCCGGCTGAACCGCAGTGGTGTCCGCAGGTCCATCAAGAGACGACGGGTTCTAGTTCTGACAGGTGACGGAAGGTAGTGACGAGGCTGGAGGTACTCATTGGAGACTGGAGGTTCTTACAGAAGACTGAAGGTACTGACTGAAGACTGGAAGTTGTTGCTAGAGCGGGTTGTCACTCAAGTTTGGAGGCGCTCAAGAAGACTTCAAGTAGTGATGTGTATCTAAAAATACTGTCTGAAGATTGGACATGAAATGAGACAATGTCCTGATTGCAGTAGCCGACAGATACCACAGCCGTTGTTGCACCAGTCTGGATACCGCTCTTCAGACGGGTGTCTGTTCTGTCAGGGGACGTATCTGTGCAGACGGGCAACGAGGGTATCACCTTGCCCGACCCTGTTTTGAGAGGAATGGAAGAAGAAAAGAGCATCATCATGGTTCTGGCCATTACGAGGCTGCCGCGGACCTGTCAGACGGATTTGAGCGGAGAAGTGCCGGCTGCCGCGGTGGACGCCGCCATGGCTGTCTCACCGGGTGGCGGGAGGCACATTCCCATGCCGGCTGCGGCGCTGGCTGCCGCCCTGCGGGCGGAACCACAGACCGACACTCCAGAGGTGGCAGGCTCAAGGGACGATAAGTCCGTTGAGAAGGAGGTTGTTTCCCTGTCTCGTGAGGCGAAAATCGCCAGTGTCGATGAGCGTATAGCAGCTCTGAAGCGAGTGTTGGATGCACCAGAAGATGATCCTGCTGAGATGGCGGCCGCGCGGGCGGCGCTGGCACGCTCCAAGGCCTACCCGAAACTTGAAGAGTGGAGACCCCTTGAGGAGATAGGCATCAGAGAGACATACAGGAGCGTGCTGGGTAGAGGTGTGCTGCCGAGTGAAGAGGCGTGTGTTCTGGCACTGTACCGGGACCTGCTGAACGGAGGTGAGCCGGGGGAGGCCGAGTGCAACACGTCCACTGGCGAGGACACCGTGGACAAGGAAGACCTGAGAATCGAGCTGGTGGCGCAGAAAATCTACAGACGGATAAGTACTGTAATCTATTGGAGTATCGAAGAACAATTAAAACCAGGGATGCGGAGCCGGAGCCGGAGTCGGAGCCGGAGCCGCCGGAGCCGGCATATTTTGCCCGGAGCCGGAGCCGGAGCCGGAGCCGTGAAACAATATAGCCCGGAGCCGGAGCCGGAGCCGGAGCCGCCAAAAAAGGGGGCGACTCCGGCTCCATTTTATTTTTTTTTTTTTTTTTGAAGAGGAAAAAAATAATTGACTTAGTTCGGTTTGACAGTACAAGGCAGTAAAACATATGGTACTATTGGTCTCAAGATAAGGGCCCAGGCGACCTGTAGTTTTGATGCGGTGAATACCCTCACCCTCGCCACAACTCGAGTGGGGATGGCGCTGGCTGGGAGGAGGGGTGCACTCGGCCCGAGTTGTGGCGAGGGTAAGGGTATTTATTCACCTCATCAAAACTTCAGGTCGCCTGGGCCCTTATCTTGAGACCAATATACGTCATGGGCCATCAAATGAATGAAAAAAGCCGAATATCCTCAGTGTCCCACAGTACGCAATCAACTTCCTGTCTGCTCCTCCCCCCCCCCACGTCTACTGCATCCCCAGAACATGAGGACCGGTCATCAGGTGACGGCCATTGTTTTGAAGCCAGTGCTGGGAGTCGCAGTCCATTGCACCGTCTCTTCCCACCTCCCCCGCCCCCCCCCCCCCCCTCCACCCCCCAATGCAGCCGAGACGGGTGTCAGCTTACGATGGTTCAGTGAACTCCGATTCGCGGCGACTGCGTTTCCAATGCCATCGCTTCCTAGACCTTTGTTCTGCCAGTTCTCTCCGAGGTGCGTTTGCGCGGGAACGCGGTGAGCCGGTAATGGCAAAGAGTAACGCGTATAACCAATCCAATTTTTCTTCCACCCGTATTTAATTGATTGCATAGGGGATGTACTGAGTCGGAGTCGGAGCCGCCGGAGCCGGAGCCGCCGGAGCCGGACCATTTTACTCGGAGTCGGAGCCGGAGCCGGAGCCGCCATAACATTTCACCCGGAGCCGGAGCCGGAGCCGGAGCCGATTTTTTTCTCCGGAGTCGGAGCCGGAGCCGGAGCCGTCTGAACTTTCCACGGCTCCGCATCCCTGATTAAAACACAAAGCTTTTTTCTACACATCCGTCGATGCCGCCAGAACTGCTGTCCGAAGAATGGAGGTAGAGCGGGTTCGTATGGACTGCAACGAAAGTCCAGCTGGACGGCTGGCTCAAACCGATGACCAAGATCAACCAGAGGATCAGCTGCCTGAAGGCTGCGGTCATTGCGAAATATTTCTTAGAGAGGTTGACATGATTATGCGTAGCTATACAAGCCCGTTTTCCACCAAGGCTGAGAGATTAATTGGCCTTTTAAAACTGATTCAAATGAGAGTCCGTGCAAACAATTACTTCAAAACACACTCCGATTGTGCAAGAGAAACCAGTCACCTCTTAGGGCTCACGATGGGAGGTGTCACAGAGGTTAGGCAGCCTGTTGTGAAGCAGAAGGTCGTGGTTTACTCTCCTGATGACAACAAAAAAGACGCCCACTGCCCAGTCCCAGAACACCGGACAGAAACCCGGGAAGAGCTGCACGACTGCTCCTGAGATGGAGGGAATCCGGAGATCAATGGACACTCCGCGGTCACTGGCCGAAATGGCCTCAGCTCTAGGACGAGTCCTACGATGGAGGGAGCAGCTCCTCTCCAAGTCACACAGCAGACATCGGGCGCATTATTACCAGCAACTGTTTAAAGATGTTTTACATGGCCGTCATCTCGTCCTAATACGCTATTTTTGCGGATTATGCGGGTTTAACAATGTCCGGGACGGCCATTGGAAATGTGGGTCACATGCATGCATAGCGATCCAGAATATATTTGTTTCGGGAAGCGTGAGTGAAGGTACTGAGGTGCATGTCACCAAGTATAAGTCACGAGTCAGTGGAACAATTGTTGAAGCGTTTGAATGGGTGAGTGAAGGCGGCTTTGCTATGCCGCATTGGATTGAGGGGAGAAAGGAGCGGATGGCGACAGGGAAAGAAGAATCGAGCGATAACGCACCATCTGCTCTTACATTTGAGACTGCATCTGACATTGACTTCATGATTCTAACCGGACCAGTAATGTGGCATACAGAACCGCTGAGGGACTCTGGCAGTTCTAACTCTTCAGAGAAGACGTCACGTTTCAGTGAGTCTTCCGACAGAGAGGCGGTTGGCTCCCAAACAAAACAGCACGGTTCTGCCGCCGTGGAAAATAAATCCAATGGAACAGGCAGCACAGGAGCAGACAGCTCCGACAACACTTTCACCCTCCATGTAGAGGAAGACACAGATAAGCCGGGCTTTGTGAAGATCACTCAGGCTCTCCAGTGGGAGGGTGACACCTCTGTCAGACGTGAATTACCATTTTATCATTGTAAATCACATATAGCCGAAGCTATGAAAGGACATGTGGAGAGCATTAAAAACTATGGCGGGCCGAATATTGAAGTAACCATCAATGGTGACAGCAATGACCTCGTCCCCTGTCTCCAGTACCCCGAGAGGGTCAGTGACGAGTTTGTGAACCGAGAGCGACCGTCGGGACAGCCGAGCAAAGACTTGGTGAAGAAGCTCAGTGAGATGGAAATCTATCTGGTCGAAAAAGATGATCTATTTCGTATATCGTTTTCACGTCTCGAGTCAGAGGTGATCCGCTCTATGACCAAGCCCCAGCGGATCTGTCTGGTCCTGCTCAAACACTGCGCTGCAGTAGCGGGAAGCGAGCTGTGCAGCTACGAGCTGAAGACGGCGATGATGTGGGTCTGCGAGCGACGTGCGCCAGAGCTCTGGACCTGGGACGGCATGCTAGAGTCGATGATGGCCGTTTTCGACTTTCTTCAGGAGTGTGCGGAGCAGCGTGCTCTGCGGTGCTATTTCTATCGTGAGATCAACCTGTGGACTGGCAAAACTTTCGACAAAGGATTAGCAGTGTTAAGGCTACGAGTGCTGCTGCCGCGCGCTATCCAGCTGCTGCTGGCTGGCCTGCTGAGCTCGAGCCAGGCGCCGCTGATGCGTCACCTGCTGAACATCCCTCTGGACGCGCAGCAGATGCTCTGGTGCTGCTGGAAGCGCAGGATCGACGACCCCTACCCGACGGATCCGAAAGATCAAGGGAAGATTAACCCGAATGACTTGTGTTCTGGGCTCTACCCGGCGGCGGTGGAGAGCCGCCTCTGGTCGGAGCGGTTCCTCGACACCTTCCGGTGGGAGTCGCTGCCGGCGCGCTGCAGGGAGCCCGACTGGTTCGCCGAGCATGGCTGGGACACGGACAGCGAGGGGGAGGAGGAAGACAGAGAGGACAAGGATAGCGAGGACGAGGAGGAGAACAGGAAGCCTCTGCCACTCTGGACAGCCGGGCTGCCTCAGACTTATCCAGCCTGGACGGACATACTTGCTCAGCCTCCGTTTCCATCAGTCTGGATGGGCAGACCTCCTCAGGATCAACCAGTCTGGACAGCCGGGCTGCCTCACACCTCACCAGTCTGGACGGGCAGACTTGCTCAGCCTCCGTCTCCATCAGTCTGGACGGGCAGACTTCCTCAGGATCAACAAGTCTGGTCAGTCGGACTGCCTCAGCCTCCGTCTCCATCAGTCTGGACGGGCAGACTTCCTCAGGATCAACCAGTCTGGACAGCCGGGCTGCCACAGACTTCACCAGTCTGGGCGGACAGAGTTCCTCAGACTCCGTCTCCATCAGTCTGGACGGGCAGACTTCCCCAGGATCAACCAGTCTGGACAGCCGGACTGCCTCACACCTCACCAGTCTGGACGGGCAGACTTGCTCAGCCTCCGTCTCCATCAGTCTGGACGGACAGACTTTCCCAGGATCAACCAGTCTGGACAGCCGGGCTGCCTCAGACCTCACCAGTCTGGACGGACAGACTTGCTCAGCCTCCGTCTCCATCATTCTGGACGGGCAGACCCCCTCAGGATCAACCAGTCTGGTCAGTCGGACTGCCACAAACTTCACCAGTCTGGACGGACAGACTTGCTCAGCCTCCGTCTCCATCAGTCTGGACGGGCAGACTTCCTCAGGATCAACCAGTCTGGTCAGTCGGACTGCCTCAGCCTCCGTCTCCATCAGTCTGGACGGGCAGACTTCCTCAGGATCAACCAGTCTGGACAGCCGGGCTGCCACAGACTTCACCAGTCTGGGCGGACAGACTTCCTCAGACTCCGTCTCCATCAGTCTGGACGGGAAGACTTCCTCAGGATCAACCAGTCTGGACAGCCGGGCTGCCACAGACTTCGCCAGTCTGGGCGGACAGACTTCCTCAGACTCCGTCTCCATCAGTCTGGACGAGCAGACTTCCTCAGGATCAACCAGTCTGGACAGCCGGGCTGCCTCAGACTTCACCAGTCTGGGCGGGCAGACTCCCTCAGACTATCTCTCCGCCAGTCTGGACGGACAGACTTTCTCATCCTCCGCCACTCTGGACAGTCGGACTGCCTCAGACTTCACCAGTCTGGCCCAACACGCCGAATCAGGCTCGCTATTCTGGACGGCCAGACTCCCGCAGACTTCATCAGTATGAACGATCATACTACCACAGATTCTAGTGTCTGACGAACAATGGACACATACGCGACGGGGCCAGGTATACTCGACTCTGCCCGGAGACAGTGTGTGAACTGTGAACTGTGAGGAGAGGGTGGTAGTAGACTTCTCACAGTCACTGTGGTGGCTGGGAAGACTTCTCTGAGGCGTTTGTGTGCCTGTATGTATATAATGTGTGGAGAGTTGGTTTTCATTGATGCGTGTTGTATATATTATAAGCATGCTTAGGCTGTTTCGTGCTTTTCTGCTTTATATTATCTCTGCAATAGACCGGACCAGGTGTACTTGACTCTCCGCCCGGAGACAGTGTGTATGTACGTACATACAGTGTGTGGAGGGGGTGGGACCGTACCGTACATACAGTGTGTGGAGGGGGTGGGACTAGACTTGTCACACTCGCTGTGATGGCTGAGAAAGGTTCTCTGATGTGTTTGTATGCCTCGTATGTGCAATGTGTGGAGAGTTGGTTTTCAATGATGTGTATTGTGTATGAGGCATGCGTATAGTTAGGCTGTATTCGTGCTTTTCTGCTTTTAATCTCTTCAATAGACGGTGCCAGGTGTACTTGACTCTGCCCGGAGACAATGTGTGCAGTGTACCTATGTGAAGAGGGAGGGGGGGGGGGCTGGCCTTCTCACAGCACGTGGACATTCACTGTGATGGCAGGGAAAGCTTCTCTGATGGCACGACAGGTATTTGTGTATCTATCGCAATGTGTCGCATTTGTATTGATGTGTATTGTTGACATAAACATATACATATGTGTAAGCTGTATTCGTGCGTGGAGGGGAGGGGACAACGGACTTCTCTTAGCAATGTGGACATTCGCTGTGATGGCAGGGAAAGCTTCTCTGATGGTTCGACATGTGTTTGTGTATCTATCGCACTGTGTCAGAGTTGTATTGATGTGTACCTACTGTGTGCACAAGATTCCTTTTCTGTGTATGTACCTACATGCGTAGGCTATAAATATTGCTATTCGTGCTCTTGTGCATTTTATTACCCCGTATGATAGTTGCTGCTGTGATCTGTAAATATGTCTGCATATATGTATGTATAGGTATAGATTGTGCCTACCTATACAGTTTGTGTAGGTACCTACATTTTGATCATCAGCACAAATATTGTATATTTATTGTGTTAATACTTATATTTGTTATTTTTATCTTTGATTCAAACAAATACATGCATACCAAAATGTCTTTTTTGTTCGTAGATTTAATAAATTTAATTATCACCTTTGACGCATAGTAGACCTAGATCGGGGATGTTGGGAAGGGGGCGGAGTATACGGAGGGAGGTCCAGCAAGACTCCAAGAACAGCTGTGTCAACACTATCGCTGCCGCTGTCACATTTCAACAGTGAAAAGTCCGACATCTTACACAAAGGTGCTTAACTTAAACCTAAAAAGTATCTACAACATCAATCCTGCACTACACCGAATACAAATTATGAAATGAAGCGACGAAGCACAGCATACCTACAGGGTTGGGCAGATAAATTGGGACAAAATACATATTTGCATTTAGAACGCCGTAGCTTAGAAATTTGTAAACATAGGCATTTCAAATTTGGATCACATATTGTCACACCAATTTTACACATTTTCACCAAATATGGTCACCGTGGTCCACCTGCATCAGTCCTTATCGGTGCCTGGACTGGCCGCACGCGCGGCGAGATCTTCCGTCTGAAATGGCTCGTAATTGTAGCCAACTGGCACTGCTGAGGCTCACCACAGTCACATGGGTACGTTCGTTAGACTCACCCGCAAAAACGCCCCAGCAACCAGAACTTGTGTGGGCTGAGGTTTACTGAGGAAGGGGGCATTTTCCCTTGGGTACAGTTTGCGGGATCCTCCGTTTCAGGAGATTTTGCATTTAATTTTTTACTGTATGCCGGGGAGCTGACTCCTCGAAGAGCATCACTCCATGCAGGATGTTGCCTTCTTTCATCTTGTTGATTCGAACTGCCGGAATAATGGTTAGGTACCCTGTAATGGCGAACCCCCTCCCGAATCCGTAAAATAAGGGGGCCCCACGTGACCGTCAGAAGTCACCGGGTGGAATGCCATCACCGATGTCTGCTGCATGTTTTTTTTTTTTTTGAACTAAGATCACGTCTTCTGGGCTGGTTGCGATGTTACATGGTGTTTGCGGTTGTTCATATGTTCGGTTATGGGGATACCATCGTCGAAAAAGACCTGCACGTGCTTGCTCGCTTCTCCAAGCCCTTCAAGAGGAAACAATCTTTTTAACGTCACAGCTGATTCAACATCTATGTTGACAGGTTGATATGCATCAATGCTTAAGAGTGCATTGTTTGAGGTGCTGGTATATCCTATTCTCATGGCGAGGCTACCTTCGTTGTAAGCTCGCGCCACTGTTTTCGCGAAGATCCTCTGATTAAACTGAATTTTGCCTTTTAGCCCCCCTGGAAAACCGGGGGAGCGGCCGGTGTCAATGCAATAGGCATGTAAGGATGAGTCAATATCATCTCTTCCTCCAACGTTTACCGTTTACGTCTGTTCGATACACACTACTTTCAGCCATTTGATGGAGCATAATTAGAGTATTGGCACGCATGTGCGCGCGGACTAAGTTGATAGTGGCTTGCTTAAGCCCACGTTCTGTGACCAGCCGACTCAAAATTACAACACAACCTGCATAACATGGAAACGTATATATTAGCCTATATTTATGTTCAAAAATTATCTTTATCACTCAAAAAATAGTCGTTTTAGAGGAAGTTGAAATTTGTCCCAATTTATCTGCCCAACCCTGTATAGTGTATACCAGGGGCAGTTCTGGTGCGGGCCGCGGGGCAAATTGCACCAACAGCCACACCCTGTTCGAATTAGTCAGACGGAACAGCCCATCACGGTACATAAGCTAGTGTCAATATCCGTCCACTGATAACTTACTGAAATGCAGCGCTGTCAAGCACCGGTTGAGGTCACCTTATTTGTTGAACGCCGCGTTATCGGACCACCTCGGCTGTGAGTTTTCTGGCATTTACAACGGGATTTGCGTGCTCGGCGTGGGGCGGGGCCACGAAAAGGTGCACTTTGTGACACGGTGGTTAGATGATGATTATTTGGAGTTTTCGGATCACCGGACTGCAGCGGTCAGCGGCGTCCATTCGCAGTGCTATGAGAACGGACAGACACGGAGTATTTATAATGGCAAAGGACGTAGACACTATTTTAATCTCGCAATCCGATTTGAAACTGATATTCTCGCAATGCTTTTGTTTGACTACATCTCTAAATTACATTTACATGTCTGCCGTTCTGGTATTTAGCGTTATAAAAGTGCTTCATCGGAGATTATGTTTAATCCGACCGAACATTGAATTCTCACACGCTGCCTGCTTCCTTCGATTGTTTTTTTCCCGAAATTCGGGAAAATATTCCGAAATATCAGCCCCGAGACTTGGACTTCATCTTTTTTTGTTTTCGTCCGACAACGACAAATGACAGTCAGTATATAGGTCCTGAACAATGTGTGGATCGCGCACTCACAACTGTCTCTAATGAACAACAGAAACATTCCCGCATCGTACCTTTAGCAGCTTGCAGCCCGTGCAATGTGCATAGGCATACTCAAATCGTTATTCGTAACGGTATAGATCCTAGCTAGATAGATCCTGATGTCCGACGTGCAGCCTGTTTCGAATTCTTCTCAAAGTTGCACCGCCGCCCCGTCCTCTATCGTATAGCTATGACTCCCCACTCAGCACTGATCTAATGTCTGCTAGGATATGGTAATTCCCAAACCGCGTATAGAATAACATGACGTACGGTAATAACAAGAATGACCATACAACACACCACAGAACCGACAGAGGTCTAATGGACGCCTCTGTCGGGTGATATTTCTCGACAGCGGACTGAAGAGACGACCCACCCATGTCGCTCTCCTGGCCTCGGTGGCTCAGATATACCGCCGACGGCGACCGTTGCAGCGTGCAGCACCCCCCTGTCCCCCCCCCATCAGGTCGGACCCGATACCAGTCCGAGCCCCGCTGACCGCTGAGGCCGGGACCCTGGTCCTTGGCACGCTGCCAACCGCCACTATCGCGTGTTACGTGCTAACATCATAGGTTGTCGCCACAGGGATCTAATCGTGCAACTAGATCCCTGTTACCGCTTTTGAATAGCTTTCAATTAGCGATCACGTTAGAACAGAAAGCTGATGACTCCGTCTGAGTGTGATTCGATGCCGGCAGTGCCGTGAACTGTACATACAGGGTATTTAAATGCTATAGACAACAGTCGGCCCTGTAGTGTTGAGTGTTACACGAATTTTGTTAGACTGTTGCACGGCACGCCGCTACAGGACACTACCAGGCCGATTAGCGCTTCGGTTTACATTAGGAAACGTGATCGTTTATGAAAAGTGGCGTGCCGCAAATAGAGCCCACATAACCATACTTGTTCTGTTTTAGAGTCATATTTTTCCCAGGTTTATGTTTGTATGATATAAAACTTTATCGGAATTCACTGGGATTGTATTGCGTATGCAAGTCCAAATATTTCGGCCAATATTGTTTGGCCTTGGTCACTGGACAGTGGACAACTACAATAAATAGCCTTGAATAACCCTATAAGTATAGCTCACATTGCAGCGATTGGACTTGCATACGCAATACAATCCCAGTGAATTCCGATAAAGTTTTATATCATACAACCAGTATAGCGCCTTTTGGGGCGACTAACGGAGCGAGAGAGGGGGTGAGTCTTGCACGTGCGAAATTTCGAGGGGGTACCTCCGAACTGACTTGTGCACTAGGGTTGTTCAAAAAAACCGAATTTTGGAAAAGTATATGGGCTCATGGCTCATGTGGTGCGGTATTCTTTTCTGAGTCCAATGATACCCTTTTTTCCGAAAAGTATTACTGCTAGGCGCTGCTCAAACGGCTTAAAGAGGACCATGCTACGCCCGCCGACCGGCCGGTGTCAATAAGGGCGAGAATTCGATGCCGCACGGCGGCGGCAGCGCCTTATCGGCACCGCGCGCCACATCTGCCGGGCGGCCGGCTGAGCGGTGGGAAGTTATAAGTGCGTGGTCTTATTGCACACGATCGGGGTGAGCTATCCCATGTTTTCGGGGCGGAAAGTTTCAGTGCAGCATCGGTGCGTCTGCCACGGTGGTCTGTGTCGATGGTATAGAAAACAACTCAAGCAGACCTCAGAAAATACTGAATGATTCCGGGTAGTTGCCTCGAAACAATCCGTTTCAAGAATACAGCTGCCTTCTTAACGTACTGTATCACTTGTTAATTCTTCAAAAAGCAAGCTCTGAGCAATAACAGACTTCTTTGCATTGCTGTTGACAATTTAAGTTGCTTTTGGACGGTGGCTCGCAGCCCCAATATGCTGCCGCGTAACTCTATTCCAACGACGAAACGGCAACTTAGCGAGAATCGAAAATTTAACGAAGTAGGTACAACAGGAGCTGGCAAGGCTCCTGCATTGGTCTATCCGTCATGAGTGACACACCGGGGTAATGTGTCACGTCAGGGCAGAGCTGTGTTCTATGCCGGGTCTGGATTCGGGTCTTGATCGGCATCGGTGGGCACGGCCGCCCTGGCCGGACTGCCGGCGTCGCTTATGCTCGAAGGATTGGATAAACGGCGCTTGATTTATATGAGTAGGTACTCCGGCTAATGTCTCTACTCATGTCTCACTTCGTCCCACTGTCAGGGTGGCCACCCTGTCACTCCCAGACATGTTATGTTTCCTTTCGACCCGCTAATCTAAGTTAAACTTGACGTCGATTCTGTTGCCCCAGCATCTGACATCAACGTATCTGAATAATGACATTGGTGACGCCTATGCTCGTCAAAGCCACCCCCAAACTTGGGCCGATGACTGTCGGGTATCCTCCATATTCTGTCCTTGTGCATACTGCATTGCCAGCCCCTGCTGTACGTATATCGTGAATTTTCGATTCTCGCGAAGTTGCCGTTTCGCCGTTGGAATAAAGTTGCGCGGCAGCATATTGGGGGTGCGAGCCACCGTCAAAAACTAACGTAAATTGTCAACAGCAATGCACAGAGGTGTGTTATTGCTCAGAGTTTGCTTTTTGAAGAATTAACAAGTGATACGGTACGTTAAGAAGGCAGCTGTATTCTTAAAACGGATTGTTTCGAGGCAACTACCCGGAATCATTCAGTATTTTCTGAGCTCTGCTTGAG